GTGCTTGTAAAGTAGGGGGATCAGAATAAGAGGGAGAGCAGCAAAGGCAGAAAGTGAAAGGAGGTAGCATATTGCTGAGTCTCTACCCTGTGAACGATACACAGGCAGCTGATCTAAGGTCCAGAAGAAAGTGTATGAACTATTTAGTCTTCCCAGAATTCCCACCACTCTTCCTGGACACATGACACCGATTATCAAAACCTGCAGGTTACCTAAGGAGTTCAATTTTCAAGTCTAAGAATCCAGATGTGTGGGAAGGTCATCGGTTTTTGTTTACTAATATACATAGGTAGGAAATAATACCCAAGAATTTATATCAGGAGAGTAGGGAAAATTTGGAGTTATTTGGTATAAAAAGTGTTGAGAATCACTTACTTAGATCATTAAAGAGAACACTCACTAAGCAATGTCTCTAGAAGTGATGTTTTCCTCTGGAGCCTGAGGCTCAGTGGTGGTCTCTCCATCTTGGACACCCACGTGCACACATACACACATATACACAAGCTAAGTTTTGACAAACCAACACAAGTAATCATTGATTAGTGTTGCTTAATATTATCCCAAATAGAATACAGATTGTTGTACAAACCTTTTCAATTTATTATTTCTCTTGCTATTCTAAAATTTCATCTTTATTAAAGTACTAGGTAGGTTCATCTCTAACTAGAGGATAAACAAAGGAGTCACCTCGGCAGTTAAATCAAGACTTTCTAAAACAGCATGGTTACCCTGCTTGAAAGATGGAAAAAGGGGGTCCACAGATTAGATGACTTGTCCAAAGAAGAAAAATGGAGTTGAAATTTGAACCTAGATTGTTTAAATCCTACATTCAATAACCAAAGAAGATACTCAGCTGCTTCCTATGCCTCACACACACAAAAAATGTAGAACCAGGAACCGAACTGAAGGAGAATTAGGAAACTTAAAATCTAAAGAAAAGGCAATGGCTCGTGTAGATTTTCCCTGGGTGAATTTAACACTCACGTGGAGATTACAGATTATATAAGCACTGCCAGATAAAGCATTCTGTTTCTTAATGGTAACCACACTTAGAAAACTAGAATCCCAGGGTATTCAGATTTCAGTGTCAGCTGGTCCTCCAGAACTATTTAGGCAGGATCTAGAGCCCAGGACACAGTCCCTCAACTTGGAACCATGGAGCTGGGAGGGGCCTTCACCATTTTTCTGGCACTCTGCTTGTCTTGTCTGATCATCCTCATTGCCTGGAAAAGAATTGACAGGGGAGGAAAGCTTCCCCCAGGTCCTACACCAATTCCCTTCCTAGGAAACCTGCTGCAAGTCCGAACTGAAGGAACTTTTCAGTCTCTAATGAAGGTGAGTCTGTCTACCTCTTCTCTTCGGCCTGGAAGCAACTAATCCTATAGCCAATGCACATAGCACATTTTGATTTCTAAAGCACAGCCAGAGAAACAGTTTGTAATCTTAGAATTTCAAAACTTCAGTTCTTAAAATCTTGGTAACATAAACTCTTAGACCATTGGAATAAAACTGTCACCATCCTAGGAGTTTGGGCTCATATCTTTAAGCACAAGGACTTGTGCACAGATTATCTTATAACTTTGAGAGACAATATCACGAAATCTTAAGATTCTAGAAATTTAGCAGTTTAGTGAGGGTGAGTAGGGTGGATCTTAGATTTAATCTAATCCAGGTCCATCATTTTATAGATAAGGAAACTAAGACTTGAAGGTGTAGAGGTGGTTCTTGTTCAGGACCACAGAAGTCAAGATTTTCATGTATTTCCCCCAATAGTCTTTCCAAGCAGAGAATTTACCTTTATATATTTTTCTCGCATTTGTACCCCTAAAACCTCCACATTCTTAGGTTCTTGACTGATTTATATGTCTTGCTCCAATGTACTCCCTCCTCTGGTGTTTTCCTTCACTCCCAGCTCCATGAGAAATATGGCCCAGTGTTCACAGTGTACATGGGTCCCCGGCCAGTAGTTGTTTTATGTGGACATGAGGCAGTGAAGGAGGCCCTGGTAGACCAAGCAGATGATTTCAGTGGACGTGGAGAAATAGCTTCAATAGAGCGAAACTTCCAAGGTTATGGTAAGTAACAACAGCAAAAGTGATTAGAAGGCACTCCGCTATGTTTCAAGTTCTTTGAAAGACACTCTATAAGAATCATTGTATTGACTTGAAAAACTTTTTAAATCTTATACTAATTTTGAAAATGAGAAGACTGACAGTAGAAAGTTTAGGTGATATTATGCAGTGGTAGAACCACTTTGTTTTGAATTTGAGATGTCAGACTCTGAAGGGCTTGCTGTCTTTTTTCTGCTCTTTCTTTTATTATTCCTTAAATGCATTAATTTATTAGTGTGATAGTCCTCTGTGTACCTACTGAAGCATCCACAGCCAATCTTACTTCCTACCAACATATCCAACACATAGGTCTCTGTCTCCATTTAGGAAGATTCTCTGTTAACTCTACTGCTAACCTCTACTGCTAATTCCCCACATCCTTCAAAGGGAAGCAAGCTCATCTCATTTTTTTTTCAATCCTTTCATCAAGCCATCTCTCTATTCCTATATCTTCCTTCTACCCATGGCTGCATGAACCCACCAAAACCATTCATCACTCTGTATACACATGTATTTCCATCTAAATTATGTGTACATCTGTCAATTATTTTTTCATTTATCCATCTATCCATCACTCTACCCATCCATTTATTAACCCCTCCATCATTTGTACATCTATTGAATCTTTCCGTCAACCCATCCATCCTTATGTTATCCATCCATGTGAAACCATTCATCCATTAAACTCACTCATTCGTTAAATCTTTCACCCATCCATCCATCCAACCGCAAACTCTTCCACCATCCAGTCACAAACTTCTTTTCATTCACCAACCTTCTAAAATTATTTCATTGTTTCCAAATTCTTCACTAAGCCACGAATGACTTCACCAAGTCATTTCTAAGTGTGTCTTACTGCATGATAACTCTTCTGTGTAGATATATTGATGTACAAATGTGAGTTTCTATGCACACATATTTGCACTTCTAGAAAATCCAAGTGGTATACAGAAAATAGAATGAATGTCCCCATCCCAGGGACCGCTTATGGCATTCTATCCATACCTCCTTCCTCTATTATGCATTTATGAAGTTAGTCATCCCAGCTTTCTGTACTATAAAAAACTCTCTTGTTGGGCAGGTAATTTAGCTCTGTGGTTCTGCTGCCTGCTTCATAAGCACAAGGTCCCAAGTTTGATCTCCGGTGCAAAAAAAACCCCTCCTTTCTCCCAGGTCATTCTTAGCCTGATTCTACCACTTCAGTCTGGACAGCTTTTAAGGGTCCTAAAGGGAGAGAATCTTATTGTCCCCATTCTGAATGGTTCAGAGGTGCTTTCTTTATAGTAAAATAATCTTTATAGTCTGTCCTTGTATAGCACAGAGTCTACCACAGAAAGGGGAAGGAAGGCAGGATCCTAACAATGAAATCCTGGCAGGTGTAGCTCTGGCCAATGGAGACCGATGGAGGATTCTTCGACGTTTTTCCCTGAGTATCCTTCGGGACTTTGGGATGGGAAAGAGAAGCATTGAGGAGCGAATCCAGGAGGAGGCTGGCTACCTACTGAAGGAATTTCGGAAGACCAAAGGTATGAGGGCCACATGGGGGAGGGAGAGTAGGTGCCTGAGTGGTTATGGAGAGCTAAGTCATGAGATGAAGTGCCTTCATAGAAGAAAGCTCTGAGAGGGAGAGGATGAAAGATTGCAAGGATTTGCTGAGAATTCCAGCAAGGTTCTATGTTGAAAATGAACATGGAAGGGTCTTACAGACCACTTGGTTAGAAACTTCAATCAACGGAATCTGTGAACCCGTGAAATTTCACGTGGATTTTGATGGTATATGAGTTTGTACCTTCTTCTGGAGACAGGATCAAATTTCATTGTTTACATATTTTTGTTGTGTTATATAAAATAATAGAATGTACCAGCTTCATTATTTTTAAATGAACAGTTAAACGCCATTAAGTATATTTACCTTATTGTAGAACAACTCTTTAAAACTTTCATCTTGCAACTCTGAAACTATTTACCCATTTTCTTACATGCTTAAAAGAGACCAGTTTCCCCCTAAACCTAAGGTCTGAAATTAATGGGGTTTAAAGAGAAAAGAAACAGGGTCAAGGAAATACAGAAACAAATAACAGAAGTATAGAAATAGAGATACATTTATCTAAATTAGAGGTTCTTCTTCTGGCTTCTATGGATGGGCTACACACACCCAGAATTAACTATAAAATTATATACTTGTGTGTATATGCATTGTTCTGGAGAAACTGTTCCTAAATCCACTTTCCTGACCTCGTTTGACAGATGGCACAGCTCAGGCCTGGGGAAGAATTTTCTCAATAGCCTAAATGGAAATATTGGTAGAGCTAAACAGAATCTAGGTATCCCTCTCTTCTTTTTTTATTATGTTCCTTACTATCACATTTTCTCCCAAATCTGCAACTCTAGCACAAACACATTTAAGTAACAATGACAGAAGTAATGATTAAGCTCCACCAATATTTCTTGAGTGTTTATTACATGTTAGGCACTGCGCTAAGAATTTTACATGGATAATACTAAATTTTCATGAACTAATGTTAGGGCTTCTTCTGTTTGGGGCTTTGTTTGTTTGTTTTTCAGTACTGGGGATCGAACCCATGACCTTGTACTTGCTAGGCAGGTGCTGTGCCACTGAGCTAAATCCCCAGCCATGGGATTTCTTAACCATTTTGCGGATTGGGAAATCAAGACTCAAATGCAAAAATGAAGTAATTTATATAGGCATTTACCCAGTAGATCTAGGAATCAAACTCTCTACTGAGGGATTCCACACCCTATATTGCTAACTGTGGCCTTCAGTTTAGACCATTTCCATCACACAGGTGCCCCAATTGAACCTACCTTCTTCCTGAGCCGCACTGTCTCCAACGTCATCAGTTCTGTTGTCTTCGGAAGCCGATTTGACTATGAAGACAAGCAGTTCCTGAACCTGCTGCAGTTGATCAATGAGAGTTTCATTGAGATGAGCATCCCTTGGGCACAGGTGACTACTCGTGTCTTCTCTACCCATACCTTGATTCTCCATCAACTAAACACTTGCCTATATATCCCTTAATCCTCTCCGTAATCCTGGGAGGCAACTATCTATATGTCTGAGATTCCAAGAATCATAGGTCCATACCCAATTCACAGAACCAGCACCGGATTTGGAGCCCAGGTCTCTGATCACAGACAGCTCACTTGGTTCCTGGTGCCAGTGACTGATAAATTTTCTTTGCCTATTGCACACAGCTATATGACATGTACTCGGTAGTCATGCAATATTTCCCAGGAAGGCACAATCGCATCTACTACTTGATAGAGAAACTGAAGGACTTCATTGCATCCAGGGTCAAGATTAATGAAGCATCTCTGGATCCCCAAAACCCTCGGGACTTCATTGACTGCTTCCTCATCAAGATGCACCAGGTACCTGATCCCCTACTCCCAATCTTTTCTCTCAACTCTTCAAACTCTAGTGTCTGCAGATCTCCATCTATTTACAAATGTTGGGGGAAAAAGAGCAAGTATTATTTCACATGGTTTACTTATATCTATAGATGAAATATAGAAACTGTGATACTATAAACTCTCAATGCACATAAAATAAACTTTTAAAAATCAATGAAATCAAACTTATTTATTCTATTAACATGTATCAATTGTGCATATTAATAGGTGATGATTAGTGTTATGTTTTTATAAATGCGTACAGTATGCCCAGGACAAGTCCAATGTCCCCCTCTCTACTAAACTTTCCGATTCTCTAGTAATCACTCTTCTATTTTCAGGAAGACTTTTTTTTTAGCTTCTCCATATAAAATTGAACTGCAGTAATTTTCCTTCTGTGTCTGTTTATTTTATTTAGCACAATGTGCTCATCCTTTTTTCTTTTTTCTTTTTTTTTGTGGGGGGTACTGGGGGTTGAACTTGGATCCTTGCACTTGTGATGCAGGCGGCAGAACTACTGAGCTAAATCCTCAGCCCATGCTCATCCATTTTGCTGCAAGTGACAGGATTTCCTTCTTTACTATGGCTGAATAACACTTCATTGTGTGTGTATATCTCATATTTTCTATATCTACAATAGACTGAATCTAGAAATTTTAGCAACATGAAAATGTTAAATGTTACAGCTTCTTAATCATTTATGCCAGAGGCTCACATTTGCAGAAAGATAGAACAAGTCCTTTAAGAAACTTAACTTAGGGGGTGGAAGAAGTAGCTCAGTGGCGCTGCACCTGCCTCACAAGTGCAAGGTCCTGAGTGCGACTGCTGCTACCAAAAAAAATAAAGAAAAGAAACTTAACTTAGTTTTAAAACTCCAATTTAAACTTTAATATTAAACATTTAAGGCCTTAGAAATTTAGAGGTTTAATATATTTAGAAGATTTAATATATCAATTATTCTCAGAATTTTGGAGATTTAGAAATTTATGTTTTTTATTAGAGAAATTTAGCACTTGGTAATTTAAAATTACACCCAAATTTAATATCTTACATGTGACTCCATATTCTTCTACTCTCGTTCTACTCTGTGTTCATCCATGCCAACTACAGTGACCTCTGCCTTGCTGTCCCTCTAACACACAAGGGAAATGCCTGCCTCAGGAATTTTGCTCATATTGTTACCTCTCCTAGACTTGGTTGACTCATCAATTGTATTTTCACAAATGCCTACCCTTTGTACAGAGAGAACATAAGAAAACAGAGAACAAGAGGGTAATTCTGTTTACTACCTCCCTTACTTTCAGGAAAAAAATAATCCCCACACAGAATTCAACATCAAGAACTTGGTCCTCACCACTCTCAACCTCTTCTTTGCTGGCACAGAAACCGTGAGCTCTACACTACGTTATGGATTCCTGCTGCTAATGAAGTATCCTGAGGTGGAAAGTCAGTGTTCACCATGAACTACTAATATAGTACCTCTTACTCGTAACAGGCAGGAAGACATCATCTTGAAAATTTAGAACCCTCAGCTTTGATTCTTCACCCTTCAGGATTTTAGGATATGTAATCTTGAAATGTCTGGCATGAGAGGCCACTAATTTAATCTAACCTGGTGACTGTATTTGTTTCCTCTGGCTTCTGAAACTTAGTATTTTAAACAACATATGTTTATTATCTTACTATACTGGAGCCAGAAGTTCAAAAGGCTTGCATTAAACTGAAACTGAGGTTGAATCCAATTCCTAGCCTTTTCCAATTTTGGGGAGTTGCATTCCTTGTACTTTGGAGTACATGACTGTTTATTGAGTCTTGCCATGCAGTTCAGGCTAGCCTTGAGCTCTTGACAGTCCTCCTGCTTCAGCCTCTCATATGCTGGGATTACAGGAGTGCAACACCATGCTTGGCCATGTGACTCTTTTCTGTATCTTCAAAACCAGTAGTGTAGCATCTTTCCTCTGCTTAAAGCATTTCTGTTTGCTTTCTTGTCACATCTCCTAACTGTAATCCTGCTTCTGTTTTATACAGACACAAATGACTTTATTAGGGTCAATATAGATAATTCCAGAAAATCTCTCCATAAAATTCTTAATGTTAACTGCTTTAAAGTCCTTCTGTTGTCCTACATACATAACGTTCACAGGTTTAAGAATTTAGGAGGTGGTTGTCTTTGATGGCTATGTGTTTAAATGCATCACCAAAAGCAAATAGAGTCCATCTTTAGGAAATTTTAGTCTAGTTTGTCTGAGTAATTCCAATGAGGAGCTAATTTCTTGATTAAAGAAAATTGGCAACTCTCTTTACTAATGAAGTTCAAACAAGCCTTGCATGGGTCTTTGTTGTTTTCGAGTAAAGACCAGATGTCCTGCCTGATATTCAAGGTTCCAGGTTGTATGCCTCCCACTGTCTGCTGAGTATTTATTAAACACCACAGATGTATCGTTTTATAGAGAAGCAATAAAAACACATCCAGCCTCCATTCTCAGAGATCTCTTCTACTGGAGATAGGGATAGTCTCTCCATCTTTTCTGCTGTGTTTTCTGATCTAGCTAAGATCTATGAAGAGATTAACCAGGTGATTGGACCACACCGGATCCCAAGTGTGGATGACCGATCTAAGATGCCCTACACAGATGCTGTTATCCATGAGATACAGAGATTGACTGACATTGTGCCCATGGGTGTCCCCCATATCGTCATCCGGGACACTCAGTTCCGAGGGTACTGTCTCCCCAAGGTGGGTTTGCATACTTGCGGTCTCTCCTTCACCTTTCTCTCCTGGTTTTCCCCCTTTTTGTCCAACATCGATTTCTCCTAATAATTACTCCCATCATCACCTCAGGGCACAGATGTGTATCCCTTGCTTGGTTCAGTCCTCCGTGACCCAAAATACTTCCGCTACCCAGATGCCTTCTATCCCCAACATTTCCTGGATGAGCAAGGACGCTTCAAGAAGAACGAAGCTTTTGTTGCCTTTTCCTCTGGTAAGTATCGTGTTCCAGTTATCCCACCCCCCAGGTAAGTGCTACAAGTATCTCTTGAAGTCCAAATCAGAATGGAGAAGTTGAAGGCAATGTCATAGAATCACAAAATCCTAGAATACCAGTATCAGAACATATTAGTATCATTGACTTTAATAATTAGAAAAAATGGTCAGAGCACTAACAGCATAAAACAAAGGATCAGCAATCTTTTTCTGTTAGAAAAAGATACAAAATATTTTAGGTTTTGCTAGCTACACCATCCTCGTCTGAACTACTTGTCTCTACCACTGCACTGTGAAAGCAGACACTGACAACAATTACATGAATTATCTTGTATATGAGCCACTGAAATTTATTTATCAAAGCTGAAATTTAAATTTTATTGCATTTCACATATTAAAAAATATCATTTAAACATTCTTTTGCAAACATTTAGAAACATTTCTAGTTTGGGAATGCCCTGTAAGTAGCAATACACATTTACCCCAGTAGTTTCAGAACCCATGGTCTTTGAGCAGTGGTAGAGAACCTATAACATATGTCTTATTTGCTTTTCTTTTAAGACAAAAGATGTTAATGTGTGAGTTGTTTTTTCTCAACTAAAACCTCTGTATTCAGGTTTAATTGCAATTGTGGCAATGTGCCATAAATAAGTGGTTTTGGGGTAGCTGTCTAGGCCCTGGTCTCTAAGAGGCTCGGCATCACTGTCTTAGAGTAATGGGATTTTAAGTAGAAGCCATGTGGAACCTGGAATCAGAGTGAATTATTTCAGCTCCCATCTGTTAAATGGAGAGTAATCTCCTTATACCTTTGAAAAGGTTTTTAACAAACAATAAGCACTATTTAAACAGAAGCTTTCAGTTTTCTCTCTCGTTAGTGTCTGGCAGATAATAGGCTTTTGAAAAACCTTTGAGGAATTGAAATGAACACAGCTTTGAAATTCACAGAGCCATTAGAACCATTTTTATCTTGGACTCAGTGGAATCTGAGCCATCAAACCAATAGCTACCATGTGTTGAGACCTTCTAGTCGCAGACCCTAGATGGGCACTAACTGTAGGAACCCACTGAGTCTTGATAATGACCCTATAAGTAGATAGGGTCACGACCTGAGATCGTGATCAAGCAACTGAGGCTCAGTGGGGTGGGCATGCCAGTAAGTCCCCACATCTTTATCATCTTGCAGGTGTGACCCTCCCTTCCAATCTTTTCTGTGTCCTCAGGAAAGCGTGTCTGTCTGGGGGAAAGCATGGCCCGTATGGAACTCTTCCTCTACTTCACCTCCATCCTTCAGAACTTCTCCTTACATTCTCTGGTGCCACCTGCTGACATTGATGTCACTCCTCGGATCTCTGGCTTTGGCAACATCCCTCCAATTTATAAGCTCTGCTTGAAGGCCCGCTGAGTACTCCTCATTATTGGTCAAAGTCCCACTACAAAACTAAGCTGTTCTCCCCCACCTCACCTCCTCCTAATCTCACAACCATAGTAGAAAGCACTCTTACTCCTGTGATGGGCCTGTACCTCCGTGAGGGTAACATACATGTCCTCTATAGCTAGTAGAAAGGCAGTGTGCTGACAGTGATTTAGGCAAAATCTTGCACAATTGTAGTTAACTTGATCACCTCTGTTCTGGTGTCTGTTTGCAACAAACTCTTATTGTAGATTCTGTCTCTAGTTGTTTCTTTGCCTTTGTCCTGGTAGTAACCAAAATAAAATTCAGAATAAAATCCTTTGTGATTTGTTTTCATCCTCACCCTCTCCACCCCAAATAAAGTCAAGACAGAAATCAAGGCTGTTGAATGTAACCAGTTTATTGGATACTGTGTAAGACACTTACTGAGGTGTAAAGTACATCTCTCCTCACTCTCCTCTCTCCTAATAAACTTGCTTTACCTAGTCGCTCCTAACACAACTCCAAATTCTGTGCTTCCAACTCCATTTTGAAAATTGTTCATAGCTGCATTTATTCAATTTCCAAACCCCATTGACTTGCTCAGCTGATGAGAACCACTCATATTTAATTTCATTAGCCAATGTTTGTCAGATACCCAACATGGTCAGCACACTCCTTAGGTACTTGGGATGCATCGTGGAACAAAACTCCTGTCCTGGTGGGTGGAGCCTACATTGTAGCCAGGAAGGTAGACAATAAAGCAAAAACATTGGTTACTTTAAGTAGCAAAGGTCAATGGGAATTTTGGAAAAACAGTCTATGAATAGGAATAGGAAAAACATGTGGGTGCAACAGGGGAACAGTGAACAAAGTAATAGTCAAAGAAATTTGGCAGGGGCTTCCCACACCCTCCTGGGCCTTAAACACCATGACCATGAGACTGCTGACAAACCACTGTCAATGTACACTACTTCCTCATTGTGCGTGTATTTTGGGGTCCCAGCCTCAAGAGTCAAACTTCCAGGTAGGATGATCCAAGTAACTAGATTTTAAAATTTAACGCAAGAGATACATCGAGGAAGCAAATATGATTCTGTCAGGCAGTGTGGTGAGTGGCAAAGATTGGCCTTTGATCAAAAGTCACACAGCAGGATGTTCTTGCAAAACTGGAGAGAAGTTTCAAGACTAGGTATGTAATAAGCAATAAATACCATTATGGACATTATGTGAATTGGTCTTCTGCTGGGAAACAAAGGATTAGAGGTATCTGGGAGTGCACCTTCTCATGGGGCGGGATAATCCATATGAAAGAAAAGAAGAAGGAACCAGAATGAGCAGTTCTATTCTATGTTGTTTAAGGCTAAAAGTTTTTTAAATATTACTTTGTATTCAAGAACACTGTTAATGTGTCCCAAAGAGTGGATGAAAATATTTGCAAATCAACTACTGATATAGGTGAACTGTAACTCTCAAACCTGCTAGATGTCAGATGTGCTGAGTTCATGTTTCCTAAAATTGAAGAGTAAATTCCAAAGGATAAAGGAAATTAAAAATAGGAAAGAATTATTGAGTAATAGGAATAGCTCCTGAGAGATAGGAGGGGTCCCCAGTGTGTGACCCTTGTCAGGGGTAATTTATACAGCAAAGTCACAATGTGGGTAAAATGTGGGTCTAACTATAATTAACCTATAAGATTACAAGTAGAGTTGCTTAGCTAATATTGCTTCAATAGGGAGGTAGGCACATAGCAAGGGTTTATGGACAGCTCCTTTAATTTTGGCTTATCTATGTCCCCTAAAACAGGAACATTTTGGGGAAGGGGTGGGTCCAAGTATTCTAGTCACCCTCCTGGGTGTCTGATGTGTATCTGGACTTAGTGGACTTGGTGGTACCATTTACAGTATAATCTCAAGTTTCCATTCATTCCTTAGGAAAGTATGCACGTCTGGCCATTATGAGTTTATCTAGAGGGCTTGGTGGTGTGTTCTCAACTTCTGCACTGACTTTCTCAAGAGCCTATCCCTGTCCAACTGCCTATTAATTTCTACTTTATCTGCCTCTAATACTATCACATATAGGTTTAGTGTCCAGAATACACAAAGGATTATTTCAACTCACAGCAGAAAGATTAAAAAGTGGGGTAGGGTGTGTTTCTCTTGAGGGACCCCACAATAAACAACTTTAAGCCCTTTATTGGTGCACCTTGAAAATTATTTTTGTTATGAAAGGCAGCAAGCCTGCACTCTGCCCCGTGAGTGGAGTGAGACAAGGTTCCCTACAACTGCTTTGGGGGCCTCCTTGTACCCTGTCCAGTGACATTTCTTGAGGGGAGCCATAGGCAGGCACAATTAGGCACTGGGATGATGATTTCAGTAAGTCCAGGTGAAGGCATATATTCTCCCTCACTTCTCCAACCCTCCGCCATCTGATGCACAGTTTCTCTTTTCTTGTCTCTCTTTGCTCCCCCGCTTGCCTTCCTTCCCACCCTCTCTCCACCCTCTTTCCTCTCACTCTCTTCTGTTCCTCCCTTGGGTTCCCTTTCTTTCTCTCATTCACACCTTCTCTCCCTTTCTGCAAACTTCTGCTACTTTGGTGGTGTTTTGGTTTGTTTTGGTTTCGTCTGGTATTTTTGTTTGTTTGCTTGTTTTGTTTTTTTTCCTTTCAGCAGTTAAAGGCTCCTACCACCTGGGAGAATGAGTTCGTACATGTAAAAGTACGGAAGACATGAGGCACTTGCTCCCTCTCACCAGAATTGGGAAGAGATGTCAAGAGAGACACTAGAGCAGCCGTGTTCTGATCCTAAACCCAGGAAACGCCTCTTCTGCAACGGTAGCGCAGGTGACCGGAGTGGACGCGCAGAGCAGCAGGCCGGCCACTGCACCCCCGGTGGCCACTGGCATTGGGACACCCCGAGGTGCCCTCCCCACCCGCCGGCCCAGGAGCCTCAGCTCCCCTGCGCTGCTGTACTCCAGTGCTCTTGGGAACCCCAGCCTCGCGCCCGAAAAAACATGACTTGCAACCTCAAACCTGGAGACTTCATCTTCACTAAAAGGAAATGTTACCCTCGTTGGCCAGCTCGAAGCTTTTTAGGACCAAAGAATACATTTCCTTACTCAGAAAATAAGAGAAAGTATGGTAAACCAAATAAACGAAGAAGTTTGAATGAAGGCTTACAGGAGATAGACAACAATCCAAAAGTGAAATGTTCAAGCCAACAGGCATCCACTAAACAGTCAAATGTGTGATGGTGACATTGAAGAAAAAGAAATGTGTTTCAAATGAAGACGGTGATCATGAAGAAAAAGCAAGCAGCGAGGATATGACCAAAGCAGTTGTCACAACCACTCCAAAAGCTGCCAGAAGAGGGAGAAAGAGAAAGGCAGAAAAAGTAGCAACTGAGGACGCAGGAGTAGTGACAACAGCAACAGCATCTGTTAATCTAAAAGTGAGTCCCCAGAGAGGACGACCTGCAGCTGCAGAAGCTGAGACTCCAAATCCAAGAGGCAGAGCCCAAATGGTAAAACAGCCCAGTGTTTGAGAGAGTGACATGGTTGTGGAAGAAGACAAAGGTAAGAAAAAGAAGCAAGAGAAAAAACCTAAAACGCAGCCTAAAAAAGGATGAAGAGGGTCAGAAGGAAGAAGTTAAACCAAGGAAAGAGACAGGCAAAAAAGAGGGCAAGAAAGAAGTTGAATCAAAACGGAAAAAGTTTGCTAAAACAGGAGTTACATCAACCTCTGATTCTGAAGAAGAGGGAGATGACCAAGAAGGCGAAAAGAAGAGAAAGGGTGGAAGAAACTTACAGACTGCTTGTAGGAGGACTGTGCTGAAAGGCCAACGTGAGAAGGAAGGCACAGACTGAAGACACAAGCAAGAGGAACGAGTGGAAACCGAGTGGCAGAATAAAGATGAAGGAAAGAAGCCGGAAGTTTAGAAAGTGGAGAAGTGAGAAACATCCGTGGATTCTCGACTTCAAAGGATACGTGCTGAAGTTAAAAATTCACTCAAAATTGATAGTCTTGCTGGGAACAGATGCACGGAGGCCTTGGAGGAACTTGCTTCATTTCAGGTCACAATGTGACAAGCTCAGAAATACACAGAGAAGGTTACAACCCTGGAAAAACTATGACAGTTATTCCAAGTCGAGTTATCATGGAAAAGTCTACAATGTTGTACAACAAATTTAAGTACATGGTTTTGGTTGATGAAGAGATTATGTCATCACACAAGTGAATAAATCTCTTCCTGAACAAAGACAGCAAGAGGAAGTGAATAGAACCAAAGATCAAGGGGAGAAAGAGCCAAACAAAAAGCTAGAAAAGGAACAGACAGGTTCAAAGACTCTAAATGGAGGGTCTGACGCTCAAGACAGTAATCGGCCACACCACCATAGAAATAGCAGTGAAGAAAGCAAAGACAACCATGAGGCTGACAGCAAGAAAAAGCCATCCAGTGAAGAGAGAGAGACTGAAATATCTCTAGCGGAGTCCACAATGGAAAACTAGGTTGATATACAGTGCCTGGATTATAAAGAACATTTGAGAAGGTTGTGATAGTTTTCATTTGAAATATTTAGACTGTTGAAAGTTTTACATTTTTATAAGCATAGGCTTTGATGTTTAAAACTTGAGGGAACAATCCCTTTACCTTTGTTTAAAAGTTATTAAACATCATTGCTAATTGCACTTGTGCAGTATTAACAGCTATATTACACAATAAATGTGGGGTGAAGTCCACTTAGACAACGTTAAACTGCTTTTGCAGACGTGGTTGTAGCATATTTTCAGTTAGTGTGTGTATGTTAATGTACAATCGGTAGAACAAAGTTACATCTTTTAGAACTGCTACTTGTACAAATATTTCCCCCTTTCTCAGATTCTGTGGGTTTTGTGCATAGTTTTTTACAAACCGCTGTTTTACCAGACTGTCTTTTCACTGTGGGTTTTGTAGCATTTTTATGGTTGTTACATCATTACTTCTATACAAGTACTCACTCTTCCCTTTTCATCAAAAGTTAATTTTAATCTCACATTGTGCTCCATTATCCTGCTCCTCTGTAACACGGTGTGGCCTGACACCCT